TTTCTCATATCTACATGCTCCAATCCTTCCCTTCGACCTGTTAGCCCTCACAAGAGACGTCTTCGCGGTTCGCCACAATCCACAAAATCCAGACGCAGACAAGGTTCGTTTCTCCCTGGGACAAGGGTCGTATTTTCGTTTGACGATTGCCGTTTCTTCGTGGGATGATGGTCGTTTTTCTAGGGAAGAGGATTCTTTTGTCCGGTGCGAGGTGCGGCGTGTGAGCGACCACTACCAAGCGCACCGTTTGGTATTAGCTGATGCTGAGCTCTCGTCGGTCATTTTGCACTTACACAGTTTTTGAAGTTCGACAACACCGCTCCAACGGCTCGGCGAAGTGCATCCTGCCTTGTAAACAATAAGCAAAAACTAACAAACGACACATCGGTCCACGACCTTCGCTGAACCCCATCAGACACGAACGCTTACTCATTGTTACCCGGAACGAGTTTACAATACAAACATCGATTCACCATTCATTTCCTCATCGTTGACTTCCTATCTTCCACCTTCTGGAGGGGAGTACGGTAGCGCCCAACTAGATAACCACTATAGTTTACGTGCTATTTCATGCCTGACCAATTGCACGTTGTTCTTGCTTGTTTTACGCTTCCCTACAACCGACTTGTCACTTGACGATCTTGTAAGTCCCGCGCTAACGTATTGCTCCTGTCTCGCTCCATCAGTCCGAGTCTTCTAGCAGCCCATCGAATACAGTCCGCTGTGTCCGACTCCAATTGCCTTCTAATATTTACGCCTAAGTTCGCGCACCGTCTCAGAGTAGGCTTTACTACTCCTACAAGTTGTTTGTAGCTACGAAGGCTGAAGACGGGTCGCATGGAAAGCTAATGCCTTTCAAGTTCAATTTCAGTTGGGACCGGAACGATAGGACAATACCGTAAATGTTCCTTCTTTTGGGCATCGTTGGATCGGGAATTGCTAAGTCTGCTTAAAATGCTAAAATGCCTAAAACATAGGCCGCATTACCCCCTGTCTAACCAATTACCGTCCATATTTTCCTGCCCAGAATACCCTGCCAGGCCGGTTTATGTGAGGCGAAAGAGTGGAGCATAAGCTAAGGAACCAATGGCAGGAATGTCAGTTAAATACTGACAACACCAACCTATTAGAATAAATAAATAAAGAAGTTAAATTCGAAGACTCATATCTCTTAGGCGAAGCGCATGGTTTGATGCTGCCACCCAAAAGCATCCAACTGACACTGGAAACCCTCAACTGTAGACTCCCTAACGAATTGCTGCGGCAGTGAGTTCCAACATTCAATAACCCGGCACGACAAGCGGGTTTCCGTCCTTATCCGGTCAGATGGCAGGTTGTACAGCTTCAACGGGTGACATCGGAGGCTAGGCAGCATGGCGGGACTAAATAGCTAGGACAGGTCTGAACCAATCTTACCCGTTAACATACTATAAGCGAAGATCAAGTCTGCTCTAATTCTGTGGTAGTGCATTGAGCACGTGCCCAAGCTAAACAAAGCTTCGGGATGCGTTTAACCTTATTCGCTGCATTAAACTTTTACCCACTTGCAAAACCCTCTCCAGTTCCATTTTCTCCTTACAGGACAACGTTGACAAGCCTGGATAAAGGATTCTAAGTGGGGTCGCATTAAAGCAGAGAACAACTTCACAAGAACATGGGCTGGTAACACACCGAAAGAGCGGGGGTTAAACCGCATCCTACGGAACACTCTACGAGCAGCCTTCATCAAATTGTCCCCGGAGTGAAGCACTGAAGTGTGGATGACACCTAGATCAACCCGCTAGGGGACGACAGCGATACCAGTTCCATCAAGTACCTAGCGCTTGCGGAGCTAGCACATCCAATGCAGAGGACAGAACCTTTCGCCTGATTTATAGGCATCTACAACAAGGTTGACTAATCCCACAGACCATCCAAGGCACTGTGAAGTGCATCAGAGCCCCCAAGCTATCCACAATATTCCAGTGCTTGAAGCCGTCAGCAAACATTAGCGACCGTACTTCAAGCTCCTGGGGTAGGTCATTAACCTAGATTGCGAAAACAACGACCCTAGAACCGAGACTTGCGGAACGCCACTAAGAACAGTTTGTCTAAACGAAAGGCCACGCCCCACGCAAACACACAGTTGTTTCCCCTCCAGGACAGCGTACACTTAATAGCGGCTTTTGATATTCTATGCGATTTCGAATTTGAGGGTAGTCCTTGATGTGGCTCAGTATCAAATGCCTTCGCGAAGTCAACGAAAAGCACGTCGCTAGCGTGTTCGTTTTCTACGGTCTCAGCCCAGCTTTCACTGGCTACGATTAAATTTGTCGGATATGGAAAACAGCTACCGAATCCGTGCTGTGCCGCACTGAGAAGGGTAAACGTAATCAGGTGATTCCCTTCAGAATCCCTGACCAGTTTTTCAACCAAACTACTACACTTGTCAGGCTGACAGGCCCGTAGTTCACTGTCAGAACTGTCACCACCCTTAAAAGTTGGATTGCCTCCTTCCTTTCCGTAGCTAAGGCACAGCTGTCGAGCGATATTGTAAACATTCAAAAGAGGGGGCCACTTAGCTCAGCGGCCAATTCATGCATCAGCTTCGAATGAAATGAATCAGGACAAGGATTTTGGAAGGTTTCAACTTTTGCAATAGCCCGAAGACTTGTGTCTACGTTATGCTGATTTCAGTTAGTCAAGAATCCTCCAGGCATTTGTGACCACCTCAACCTGAAGTAGAGAGGTCTGACGAGAAAAGTCACCAGCGTATTGTTCGCTAAGTATCTAAACCTTCTGATGGTTGGTATGCCCACGCGTCCCTTCCGCTCGTAGTAAAGCCGGTATAGACGAGTTTGTACCGCTGCGTCCCTTTACGTATGCAAAGAAGTTCTTCGGGTTTTTTATGGCTGCATCAGCCAAATCATCCTCGTACTGAAGACGAAGAGGTCCAAGCCGTGGCTTACAGTTATTTCTAACCGCTCGACAGCTTTCGTAGGTGCTGCTTGATGAATCCGCTTGGGCAGTTCGCCAGCACATTGAGCGCTTCCAGAGCGGGTATTCACCTGTATGATCTATGCAAGGGGGCTGCGCCCGTGTCACCCGTCTCTTAATGAGTGGGCTGTAGGGCGCAAATCTCTGGGTGAGGCATGCCTCTAAGATTTTCCAGGCTGTCTCAACGGTGGCAGCCACGGTGGTCGCGTAACGCACTACTGAAGCATTATCTCACATTGCGGTAAACTCTGCACACCAAATATGTGAACATACCACCGCGGTGGTTTGATGAAACTTAGTTAGAGCACATCGAAATTATATGCAAACATGTTCACGGGCTCCTAGAGGACAGCCCTAGGTTATATCACTTAAGAAAGCGTGGGACTTCGTAAAAATAACATCCATGGTAGACGTAAGTTGGTTGCTCACAAATCTAGTCGGGAGGTCCACATACTGATGTGATGGCAGTTGCAACGTTAGCTCGAGGAGATCCGAACCGAAAGGACCCACCGCCGCCATGTAAGATACATCAGCCAAGCAGACTTCAGGGAGATAGCAGTCACCCAGTAGCAGACATCTATTGGCAGCCTGAGTACGGCTAAATTCAATAACCTCCCTGGAGATACTTCCAGGACTTTGATATACCACTGCTACTGTAAGCTGAGCAGAAGTGCACACAATAGTCGACAGGGCTTCAACAATTTGATCCGGCGACTGGAAAATACCGGTCCTCAAGTCATCAAGTTTACAACTCACAGGAAGAGCGACGCACCAACCTTGGTGGTCAATGGAGCGATCACGTCAAAGTAGTGCGTAGCCAGGTACACATACTTCACCGTCTGTGGTATCCAGGGACAACCACTTTTCAAAGAAAGCACGTATGTCAGGACAAGATTTATCTACGAGTAGACTCACCTCGAGTACGTTGTTCCTCAGGCTACGCACATTACTAAGCACTACCGAAGGAAGTCAGCACGACCAGCCTTGGGTCGTACGCTACCAGGAGGCCTTCTGGTAGGGAAGAATTTGACTTCCGGTTGATTACCTGAAAACCCACAAGACGGAGGCCCTGCTCACCATTCGCCCGTCTGCTATTGGGGCTTTTGCTGGGTTCCTTTAACTTCAGTCGATCTGCCAGTGGGATGTCCGGTTGAACGTTGACATTACTACCCTTAAGTTTGTATGTAAAGCGCATTAATGTTTTGCGCTCCTCTAGGGTTGAGAGGAATACACGAAGTAGTCTGGGTCGCGGAGTTGGCGTGCTGACAAGGACGTTCCCCAATTTGGGTAGCTTCCTGATAGGGACACTGGGGAAACCAGTTGGAAGCATCTTGTTGACGCAGAGTTTAAACCAATGGAGTTCATCCAGCACGCCTTCCTTGGGAAGTACTGCCGCGGATTCAGCGGCGTTCGGAAACCTAACGCTACTATCAGTAAAAGAAGCACCTCGAAGAGGTGTATTCGCTGCACGAATTTTCGACTGGACCCCAGTTTCGACCGGTTTTGCGGGTGACGCGGCGCGTTACTTCGCCAAGGGAGCTGGAGTAATTGAGACTGAGGATTTGCATTCCACCTCCAACTCGGCCTTTGCAGGCAGTGTGCTAAAGCTCTTGGTAAGCATTATGATTAAGGTTACAGCAACTTATGTGTGTCTATCTTTCGCATCCTGCGCACTGGACGGCTTTTGACCGGGAGTTGAAAACTTTACCAAATGTCATACACTTGGAGGTCATATATTCTGGGAGCAAAATGCGACAACTGTCACTGGTTTATTTGAACACTGCTTTTCCTGCTATATTTGCCTATAGGAGTCGAAAGTATAGCACGACAAACAATCGGCTTACCACGTCGAGATCTCGTTTTGGGATCACCCCAAGGTCACGCAAGAGGTTAAAACAACATGTGCGCTGCGTCACATATGACACACCAAAGTTACGGCTTTATCAGAGCTTACCAAGCATACTATTTTTACTATACGCTGTACCACACTTTTTTGCACCCGTTGTTGTGCTAACGGACATGCCCGGAAAATGGCCTTATTCCAGTTCGTTGGCCAACATGTGCCCTCATTGGGCATTGGATTCACTCGGGCTTTCACTACCTCCAGGGTGTGCTTTGCCTATAAGTTGGTAGTTAAGCCCCCAGTGGAGGAAAGCATTCAAACGGGTCTCGATCACACTGCAAGGAGCCTGCTTTTTACGGAGATAGCGAAAGGCATGTTTCATACCTTTCACGTTCAATGAAATACCTTTCCTAGGGTTTGCAATCACTCTCGGGATGGTCTTCAAAGAGCCGGCCACTATAAATTATCCGTTTGAGAAGGGCCCTTTGAGCCCAAGATTTCGCGGGGAGCATGCTCTTCGCCGGTACCCCAGTGGTGAAGAGCGGTGCATCGCTTGCAAGCTGTGTGAGGCCATTTGCCCTGCTCAGGCAATTACCATTGAGGCGGAACCAAGGTCTGATGGCAGTCGTCGCACTACTCGTTACGACATCGATATGACAAAATGCATATATTGCGGATTTTGTCAGGAAGCTTGTCCTGTCGATGCTATTGTGGAGGTAGGTGGATGTTTGGTGATTTGCTGTTGCTGTTCGCACACTTGATAATCTCAACATCACACTCAGTGATGATACCGTGGGACGTCTCACGGGTCAGTCCTTACGGCCTCCCGTTTTTTTCTTTCTAATGCATACCGACAATATGGAGTTAAAAAATTCGTTGCTCCATCTGTCTACTGTCGAGCACGCACGCGTGATAAGGTTGTTTATTACCGTGCACTGTCAACGCAGTTCGACGGTGCCACATCCTGTCGATATGCGATACATTGGATAGTAGACAGCAGGTGGGATAACGTCAGCTTCCTCAATTGCCAATCAGTGTGAGGATGATGTGTGTTATAGCGAAAGGGAATGTCACAGTGGGTGAGCACAGTTTCACGGATAACAGCAAGACCCCGACACAAAGAAGTGTAAATTCAGCAGCTTCTTGAAACTTTTCTCAGTCGAAGCACTGACGACTGCCTCCAGTAAGTTGTTCCAAACATTCACTTACTCGCCTAGTGGCCGAATGGTATGCGCGTCTGGTTTGCAACCATAAGGTCACCGGTTCGAATCAGCGTAGGGGCTGACGTCCTCCCGGGATACTCAGCCCACGCGTGACTGGTAGTGGTCGCGTGGCAGCGAAGCGCCGTTGCGGCGTGCAGTTGGAGATTTATTTTATTATTAAGTTTCTGGACGGACATGGAGCCTCCTCATTTTAGAGAGCCTCCAGCTGTGCCCGCACGTTGTTATCTCTGTTGAGCTGGAGGAATTGTAGCTCACTACCTAAGTCGCCTCTGAGTATGCGTCTTGTATAAATCAGATCTCCACGATGACGGTAGCCGAGAGAGAACAGATTCATACAGAATAAGACAAGTTTAGAAACGCTGAGATTGATTTTGAACCTCGCCTCTGAACGTTTTCATTCAAACCACACTCGGTAAACCATACTCGAGGCTGGAGCGCACGTGTAAGATACACAGAAGCTTGCAGATATCAGGAGTAATCCGAGAGAATGACCTGATAGACCAAAGCATCCTGTTGGCTGGAGCAGCTATTTTCATTGGTTGCTCGAAGATCAGAGGATACGAGTACACCAAGATCCTTTGCTCGAGAGGCATTTGTGAGTAAAGAGCGGCCGATGTGCTAGATGCCGTGTGGTACAGAAGTGCCATTTGGGAGAACAAAGCTTTTTTCGCGGTTAATAGGTAAACCCCAAGAGACTGAGCGGTCCTGCGCACACACGCACACCCGTTAGCCGAGAGGGAGAAACACCTCAGCAAATGTGTCGCAATACAAACATGTAAGACATTATGCAATGTAGACTTAAAAGCTATAAAAAGCAACGATGCTGATATCACATTTTTGATGGTTGTTGTAGGGGAAGCTAGAAGAAAAGGAGGGGTGAAGATACAACACAAACGTCACTGAGGTCGACTCATCGCCATGTCAGCTAGTTTATCCACCCAGTATCAAGGGTCGTCTGCAGGGTGTCAGCATCATCGGTGTTGTCAACCTCCAACCACAGCTTCAGATCCTCGGCATAGATTACACAGTCAGCTTGAAGGGCAGTCGGAAGATCATTGATGAAGAATTTAAATAGGTCCGAGCCTAGGATAGAACCTTGTCGCACGCCACTAATCATCGGAACGAGTGAAGAGATAAATTCAATAACCTTAACTCGCGTTGTACGACTTCTTTGAAAATCAACTACTAAGGGAAGGACATTCCCGGGGATACCAATGCTCGAGAGCTTGAAAAGGAGCCACTCATGGAGGATTTTATCGATTGCTTTGCTAAAGGCAATGAAAATAACGACGCTTACCGGCATCTAAGGATTTCGCCCACTTTTCTCTAGCGAGGAGCAGGTTTGGAATGCAGGAACGGGCCCTCCTAAACCCATGCTGAGCAGACAAGATAAGATTTATGTCTTCCAAGTGCTGTTGTAGATAGCGTTCAAGGATCCTCTCTAAGACCTTACACAATTGATCTCAGGCAACTTGGTCAGTAATTAATCGGATTTTGCCGATCTCCGCCTTTGTATATGGACTTCACGAAATAGCAGCAGAAGGCCTACTTTGGACACCGGAAGTTGCTGGTCCGGCTTCTGAGGAGGAAGAAAAAGATGCCTGAAAGCCATCCTCAGTCAGGCACCCTTTCAGAACCTCTGCGTAATGTGGGCTAAGTGGCGGGAGCCCGTTCAAGTGACATCTGCAGCTCGAAACAGCTCGGCATGGACCACATTCAAAGATAATTGCCAGAAAGGTAGTACGCTGGAGGCATTCGTAAAAATCAGGATCGATATTAGCACGAGTTATTTGCAACCAACCATCACCGCGAATGCACTGAACTGCCTTCGAGCGAGAGATGACTCCTTTACCACATTCAGAGCACTTTGACGCCATCGTAGTTCCGCTCTACCTGGGACCGAAAGCCCTACTCATACTTGAAACTCAAAGTTTCCTGTGGTGTTTTTCAAACACTTTCACTGTTGGTTTGCAGGGTACATCTGCGAACGGACAGTCAGATTTTCTATTCATTATTATTCAACACTATTTCCACACATGGCTTCCATAAAGTTTTCGAACGGCAAAACACGACAGGTACATCGTGACGCTCTTGATATCTGTTATCCACTTATTGAGCCTCCAGGCATTTCTTGAATCGCGACACCGATTTTGTCTCGACTATTGTCTGGGGCAAACTATTACAATATTTCACCACTCGACCCTTGAGACATGGAGGGTGAGCTATCCGCTTCAGGTGCAGTACCACAAGCTCGTACCGGTGCCTGCAAGTGTTACTTGGTGTGCACACGTGCTTCAGCATAGGGAACTCACCCAGGTGCAATATCTGGTGCGTCATTATAAAGTCCACTCGAAACCGACGATATGACAGGGTGTTTAGAGGGTCGCCTGTACCGGGAGCCCAGAGAGCGATTCGAGAAGACGGATCGAGTTGCAGGGAAACTTTTATTGGTACAGTAAAAGATTCCCTGTTATCTAGCTATAAAAGAACGACACCGTGGACGCTCTAGCTAGGGGAACGGAGCAAGCACAGCACACAGGGCAGTTGCGAGTTGCAACCGAAACGAGCGCCAAGCAAAAATGGCGCTGAGCAAGTCAAGCATTCGAACTCAGCAATCAGTTCAACAAACCACACCGGTTGCCTAGGTGTACAATTATAGAATTTTGGTTAGAATTTTACACAGGCAAACCGGGGAATCTCCAGACTGCTACATAGCCCTCTCCCAGAGGGGACTGTGTAAGCAGTCCTTCGATGTATGTGAGTACTGTCCGTCGCGGGCCAGCCTTCTGCGAGACCAGGTTGTGAAACCTGATGCAGCTGCTGGGGGAGAACCATGCAATCGGACCCTAGCGGGCTCCCACCCGTGTCCTCCCTACGGTGTCGAAACGGTAAAAACTGTTTGTGGGGGACAGTTAGTAAAGTTCACGTAGACGGTTGAACAGGAAGTTCATGCCACTTGCAGTTGACGTGCGGAGATCCAGCGGAAAGTGAAACCGAGATGCAACCAACCGGCGGTGTATATGGAAAGCAAAATGAAAGGCAGCGTAAGTGCATAGCCATACACAAAAGAGTGTAAAGCGAAAAACGTGCAAAGCTGTTTTTGGTTTTTCAAAAGATTTTGCTCTTTTTTGGTAATTTCAAAACGTTTTGATCTTTTTTGTGGATTTTCAAAAATGTTTGGTAAGAGCAGAAAACTTCGAAGGCACGTTCTACGTAAAATAGTAAGTGCTAACAAAGTCTGAAAAACGAACTGGAGGCTTGAGCTTCCTCCCGCGTCGATTGAGTGTAGGGCGAGTAGGAGCGCTGTCGGTTGCGGTTGTAGGTTCTGCTGGAGCGGACTGACTCGTCTGAGGTTGCGGTGCGAGCTGTGATGGCACAGGCTTGTGAAGGTGTTTGTTGCACCGAAGAGTCAGACTTGTCGGGGAATGCTGGCTTGAGTCGATCGATGTTGATCGTCTGAGTCTTACCATTGTAGTCAATGGTAAACGTCTTGTCGCTTCTGCGTACGACACGGTACGGACCGGAATAGGGAGGTTGAAGTGGTCGGCGTACGCTGTCAGTGCGGACGAACACGTGCGTGCAAGTGGTTAAGCGTTCAGTCAACGTTGGTACGCAAACTCTGTGCTTTTGGTTGCACAGGCTGAAGCTGTCGCATGGATGAGATAGACGAGCTGCTTAGTCGCCATAGTCGAAGGTTGTTGGTGCTTTTGGTGAGACGAATTCGCCAGGTAAGCGTTGTGTGATTATGACTGGGAAGGTTGGCCCCGATTTGTCCATGCTATTTAGTCCTGCTAGATTATCTGATCTTCGCAGGCATTGTATGAAACTGGACAAACCGCGGTCCGATCGAGTTAGAGCGGAGACACGGTTCTCACGTCGAGTCATCGAGGGCTGGAACCTGCTTCCAGAATATGTTGTCAAGGGATCTACGGTTAAGGGGTTTGAGCGTCAGATAGACGATCTCGGGTGGCAACACGAACAACCTCCTCGTGGTGCCAGCTGGGTGGTTCAGGTTTAACCTGTTCCAGCAAATAGTTCGGCGGCAGTGTTCCAGGACGTGGTGGGTTTTCGCCTGGCAAGCGTTCTCCCTATAAAAAGCCACAAATGTCTGCTTATTAACACTGTGACGTGGCGGATGTGACTCGCCACAAAATAAAGTCACTGGCCCGTGGATATCCGGAAAGTGCTATCCAACCCAAAGACATCAATCGCTTATGCTCACATTCTTGAGGACAACAAACATTTAAAAATGCTGCGGCACATTCAAAGACACAAGCTACATTCATACACAATTACATACGCATATACACCCATACACTTACATATATTGTTATGCCAAACATGTACTTTTGTACGTTATTGATCACACTGTTAGCTAAACATGATCATGCCTGTAAAGGTGTGTCTCGCATGGTCGAGAATAAATGTTTATTTATTTATTTATTTATTTATTTCCTTTTTCCTGACTAATTCCCATCTTCATACTTCGACACTATTTTCTTTACTTTTCCTCGCCATTGGTATTATTCTCTTCTTTT